TCCAGACACTTTAAAAGCAATGGAACAAATACAGATGCCCCAATCTAAGAAAAAATTACAACAGTTAATAGGAACTTTAGGGTGCTGGAGAAAACATGCTTGGTGTTTCTATCATTGCTCTTTAGTCTGAGCAGTGCAAAAACCTGAGAAGATACATCAGGAACAAACTGTACAGTCTGTACAAACCAGAGAACCATTTAATTTGCTGGAGTCTATTTTACAGAGGTCTGCTCTCCCAGGATGAGTTGCACAAAAATCCACTGTCAGAAATTGGAATGTGCCTCCTTAATGGCAGCTGCAAGAGGAATAGATTAACAGAAGGACCAACTGAAGTTTCTAAACTACAAATTACAATCAATGCAGATCCATTAGCACTATGCAACCTTTCAAACCCTCACCAATTTTAGATGCACCTGCCCTTACTGAGGAGATGACAACAGAAGATGCTTGGGTCACTGATGCCTCAGCAAAGAGGGTAAGTGGTAAATGGCAGTACATGCATTAAACATCAACACAAACAAGTAATAGAAGAAGGTGAAGGTAGTGCACAAGTAGGAGAGTTAAGAGCAGCTGTTTGAGCAGCTCAGAATGGAGCAAAAATAATCTATGTGGACTCCTGTGCTGTTGGGGCTGGTGCTACCCAGTGGGTCTGCCAATAGGAATTACTGAATTGGGAAGCAAAAAAATCTTCCATCTGGAGAGCTCAAGATTGGAAATTATTAAATATAGCAAGAAAAAATGTCATACAGAATAGAATGGCTCAAAGCCCATGCCAAGGATAACAAACCAGACACAAACTGGAATTGAAAGGTGGATGAATTAACTAAAATCAGGGAAATAGAGATAGAGAGCTCCTCAAATCAGGAATAGTATTGATTGGGAGAATGGTATCATCAGAAATTAGGGCACACTGGTAAGGAAGGACTTTGCTTTGCTGCACAGAGCAAAGGCTGACCCCTAAACAGGAAAACCTGTGAAACCATTCTTACAGAATGCCCTCAGTGTAGATTAAAATTACAATTAGACCTCTGGTCCACATGGCAAATTGATTCCACGGGGCTGCTCAGACCCTCTGCAGGACACGATCCATCCTCACAGGTGTAGGGAGAGTCTCGGGCTACAAATGGCAGCCAAATGCCAAAGGGCTGATGGGCAGAACACAGTAATGGGAACCACATTGTGTTTCTCAAATCTGCCTGCTTCTGATACCATCCAAAGTGATAATGGCTCGTGTTTCTCTTGTAAGGAGATCCAAGAACAGGCCAAACACAAAGGAATTCAATGGGTGCCATGCTGCCCCCAGTCCAGTGGAATCATAGAAAGAGCCAATGGCTTGTTGAAATAGAGCCTTAAACCACACACCTGGGCAGGATGCTTAACTCTCCAAAATACTTCAGTATCTAAATAATTGATATGGACCTACTGGGAGCCCTGTGAGTTGAGGATTGTTTGCAAAACCTGAATCAGGTGCTCCACCTGCCATCTAAGGGGGACAGACATCTGACAGCACTACAAGCAGGACAGCCTGTCATGGTAAAATTGCCCCAAACTGGAACTTTGCCTATGACTAAACCTTGTGGCCTACCTGCTTGGGAAACTACTGAAAACAATGCTACAAAACATGGAATTAATGCACGGTGAATTTTTCCTTCTTTTTAATGGGGTAGCCTATCTGAGCAAACCCTGTTGAGACTTGTTTTATTTTACTTTTTTGAAATGAATCTTGGGAATGATGCCAGCACATCTGCACTGAAGATCAAGTTATTCTTCTCCCAGAAGGAATCAGTGCCAGAATGAGCCAGGCCAGGCATACACATCACCAATCCTGAGCCACGGGAGGGAGAGCCTCACTTTTCCTGTCTGTAAATGGTCAGTGTGGCAACAGCTGTAGCCATGCTTGAGCCTGAGTGCATCTCAATGACAATTGCTGATAAGTTCTAATGATACAACTCTAGGAGCGTGAATGTGGCAGAGGGTAATTTCACTATAATATGTGAGATACAACCTCCAGCCACTGAGGGGGAAATTTGCTTATTCAGTTTCCAATATATGCCCTTCAAAAAACCAGAGCAGATATTACAAGACCAGTAACTGCTCAGAACATTACAAAGAAACAATGTATGGTGAAAGGAGGTGGTGACATGTGGAGGTGTAAGGTATCCACAACCAGAACTGGATTAATGGCACATCAGGATCCTCTCAATGTATTCCACCACCTCCCAGGACTGGACCCTATGCCATATACAGGTCAGCAACAAGTGCTGTTTAATTCTTCCTGGTCCCTCAAATGAGTGGGGTGCCCAATGCAGATCAATATCTCTGCAATCAAAGCCCTGCTTGCCATTCCCGGCTCCATCCTTGCAGGGTAGTGGGCATGGTTGGACCCTCACCTCTCCAACGTCATCATGGAGAGAAGTGACTGGTATCCTGGGGACAGGATTAGGAGTTAAACAGCATGGAAGCTGGAATCCTGATGGACAAAGTAAACTCAGTAACAAGTGATTTATACCAGCTGAAACATCTTCCCCATCAGCATTAGGAACTAATCAATGGCTCTTTTCAGATATATTACCTCATTGGGAAGGAACGGATGAAAAGGATCACCAGCTAACAGGGAGTGCCCTCAAACCAACACTGCATCATCCATCAATTGTGGATGCAATTTACTATACCAGCAATTACAAGAGAGGGCCATGGAGATCCATAGCCCAATGACATCTGAAAGGTAATCTGGGATAATGCAAACTAATTTAAAAGGGAATTACAATCTTGGTGCTATCTACTTAACCTCATCTATGACCCTACAGCAGCAAACCCACAGATTTTGTTTAAAAACCACATAGTGCTCAGGTAAAACCCTACACAGACATTGCCTTGGGTTAAATCCCCAAGGAACTATACTGTATCCTATACAAGAGGGGATGGGCCCAATAAATGGGAACAAACTGGGAGCTGTTGATGTTGGTATCTGGGGCTGCTGCGGGGCTGGTCCAGGGTAGGGAGCTGCATCCTCAGAGCTCTACTTGGAATGGGTTTTAGGCTCTGTTTCCATTGAAAAAGTATCTAGAAACCCAGGAGAACATGGGTGAGTCTTGGGCTTTATCTGTGGATCAAGACTACAGTTTTGTTATTTTTGGCTCTGGAACAGTGAGCAGCCAACAGAGGAAAACCAATTTCCAGGGCTTTTCCAGCTCTCTGGTTATTGGCATTTTCTATTGATGTTACCAAGCAACCTGCTTGAAAACCTGACGGGTTTCTCCTGGAAATTTAGAAGTAAGGATTCATCCTTGCTGCTGTGTTTTGGGAACAGGGGAAAAATAGATTCAGCAAAGCCAATAGTTTCCACAAAATGTTTTTGCTTCAGGTAAGTATTCCTTCTGACAAAATTGAGTTTGTTGTAGGATGATCTGCCCTGCTCTGTCTTTGGGTTGGCCAGAGTTTCTTTTCTGGCAAATGAGATCACTGTTTACTTTTGACTGCTAATACATACCAGCTGAAGAAGGGGGATTTTTACCAATTCAAATTTGTCTTGGTCTTGCTCTTAAAAGGATGAACTATAAATAAAATTAATTAAGATGATTAAAAAAAGACTTAATTTAAAATATTGAGGTGAAATCATAAGACATACTAAAGCTAGGACCCAGTGATATTTGGGCCCTAGGGACAGACTTTTTTGGTAGGTAAAGAAAAATGTTCTTCAACTGCCCCCACTTGAAGTTTGATGTATTCCAGAGGGTAAAATAAATGTATCACTCCAGTAAAATACTGGACTCTTGTAGAGATATATGGAAATATCTTCCATACCTGGAATGATGATGAATACCATCAAGGCCTAGATGTAGCATCATTTCACGCTCTTTTGTGAGCTGAGAGCCAGAACAGAGCTGCTTTTTGTGTGGGTTGGGCTGGGGCTCAGAAAGAGCTCTTGTGCTGCACTTTGCTGGTTTGAAGTGAGGCTCCTGTTAGAGTCAGTGTGGCCCCATCAGGAAATACATGAGAGGTGGTTCCTTTGCTCACCACTGTTTTGTGACCTTTCCTCTGGATGTACAGCTGCATTTCTCAATCTTGCTTTTACTAAAATGCAGATCAAGTTTTAAAACCGTTGTAAGTTTAAATATAAATAAAATATATATTTAAAAAAATGATATCTTGAAACACCTCAGCAAAGTGCTTTGCATTGGCTGCTGCTGAGAGCTGAAACCTGAGAGAGGAATGGATCATTAAAAGTGTTGCAAGTTTAAATATACATAAAATAGATATTTAAAAAATGATATCTTGAAACACCTCAGCAAAGTGCTTTGCATTGGCTGCTGGTGAGAGCTGAAACCTGAGAGAGGAATGGATGCCTTTGACAATGGATGCCTTTGAGCGCAGTGGCTGCTGTGCAGTGGGGCTGGAGAGGTCTGGGCTGAACCTGGGTGTTTTGAGTTCTTTTGCAAACTGATGTACAAAGGAGAAAGCTTATCCTCTAGTCTTGAGGCCATGGGGAACAGCATCAACACCCTAGTGTGCTTTGTTTCAGAGCTGCTAGGTCACTGTGCAGGGGGATGCAGACTCTTTTGCAAACTGATGTAGAAAGGAGAAAGCTGTCCTCTGGCCTTGAGGCCATGGGGAGCAGCATCAACACCCTAGTGTGCTTTGTTTCAGAGCTGCCAGGTCACTGCGCAGGGGGATGCAGGTCAAAGAATTGAAGAAGAGAGAATTCTAGTTTAAACAAAATAAGAGTTCTGAGTTCTTCATGAATGTCAATAAATGCTGGAATAGGAGAATGGTGTAGGCACAGAGTTTGTGGTGATTGGGAGTGGGGCTGAGGCCGAGCCTCATCCCTAATTGGCCACAGCTGTGAGAAGCAGGTGACTGATATTGAAATTAATGAGCCATGGAGTGCCCAGGGCACTGACCAATCACACAGGAGCAGAGGGCACACAGGTGCAGTGCATCAACGTGAGGGGATAAAGGGTTGGGCTAAAGAACCTGAAGGGCAGATGCTTCCAGTCTTCTGAAGAGGAATGGTGTCACTCCGTGTGGGTTGAAGCCTTTGTGGTCATCTCAGTTGGGACAAAACACTACAGAGGTACTGTTTCAGTTCTCTTAAGAGATGTTTTTAATCTTCGTTCAGAAGGAAAAATGCTAAATAAGTAATTTCCCTGTTATGCTCGGTGGAGAAAAACATGTCAGTGAGTGCATCTAGTAACCGAGTCATGGGTGAACAGCAGTGGAAGGTGCCCTGGCACATCCAGGGATAATTTTCAGCTCAGCAGTTCTGATATTTGGCAGGTCAGTTTGAAGGGTCCTGTTCCTCTTATTTTCAGCTGCCTACCTAGCTTTGGGTATTGTTGGAAATAATCAAAATCTTCGCCTTTGATGTGTTGTGTGATAGCTCTGTAGAAGAGCTGTTCTGGCTGGTCCTGACAGTAACAACTTGTTTTCTGCGAGGGAAAATATTGTGTGGAAGTTAATCTAGTTTCTCTGAAGTCATAGTGTCCTGTCTGGTGTGGCATTTACATTCTTTGAACAGAGAGAGACATAATTCTCTCTCTCTCAGGTTTTTTACTGGAGAAGCACAGAGGGAAAAAAAAATTTATGTCTGCTTGCTGCTCCTTGTGTTTTGGAATGTGGAATGTGTTGGAAAATTGTTTACCTGAAGGAATTTGGTAATTGGATTCTGGTGGAGGTAGTTTATGTTAATTAGCCTATCAGGTCCAAGCTGTGTGGACTGTTGGTCTGCAGACAGTCATGAGTTGTTCAGTTAGTAGTAGGTATGGTTTAGTGTAGCATCTCTCCTTATTATAGTTGTAATGTAATATAGTATAATTTTAATAAAGAAAATGTTCAACATTCCAAAGCCTTGGAGTCAGATGCAAATAATTCCCTGCATTGAGGGTGCCCTGTTTTTACTGTAGTCTGGTTTGCTTATAGCTCCAGCCTTCTCCTGGCCAAGCAGCCACTTTAACCTTTGTGGCTAAGGGGCACTGCCAGCATTCCCTGCCCAATACCTGGGATGTGACACATTATAAAAAGATCCCTTCGCTCTGTCATATGCTGTAACGGCCTGTTGGAAAAGATAAGATTCATTCCAGTTGCTTTAGCATCAATCCTGATTGAGCTCTTTTAATTCCAAAGTGGATTGTTTTAGCTAATCACTCCTTTTTATTTCTCACATAAATGTTTCTAGTAGCTTTTGAAGCTATTTTTAATTCAGTCTTCTGAAGTTGGTTACAAGCAGCTAGCAATCCTGGTCAAGCCCTTTTAAATAAATGAGTTAGAAAAGCATTTACTGTGCTCCATTGATGTTGAATTACTGTTTAAATAGAGCAAATTAGATCCAAGACTTAATCTCTCATCAGTATCCTCCCATGTGACAGTGTCAACTCAGGATTGCTTTAGTCATTGCAAGTTCAATAACAAGTATGTTTGGCAAGAAGGGCTCCATTTCTTTGACAGAAGAGTTCAGAGCCTTGGGTTCACTTTATGAGTTGGTCCATTTGCATATTAAATTGGTTTTCTTGGTAATTCTAAGCCCCAAGGAGAGGTGGTTTGGCTGCAATATCAGCACTCCTGACAGATGAGATGATTTGTCCCAACAAAATAAATGAGCCTTTAAAGTGTGTAGAGTTTCCTAAAGAATTAGGTGACATAAAATAAATTATGAGGTTCATTCAGAAAGGATTTTCCATAGAGTACACTTCAGTTTTCTCCCAAACTAAGTAGTAGCTCTCTTCTTCCTAGTCACTGGCTGTGTTTCTCAAATAGAAGACAGGAGTGTTGTGCCTTTGGTTAAATCTTTATGGACTTGTGGCTTTGCTGAAGTGAGGGGAGTTAAGAAAGCAGGCAGGTTGTATGCTCATCCTAATATGGTTTTAGACATGCTCTTACCTCCCATATTTTTAGAAGTGTTGTAGCTTGGGCAAGGCCCAGAAGACATAGGGGCAAAAATCTATCAGATAATTCACCCTGATGCATCATTTTCTGTGAATGTTACCAGATCTCTTCTGACATTCTGTGGGGAATTTCAGGTGATGGCCAGAAATAAACTGAGTATGAGTTCATGTATCGGAGCAGAAATTTCTGTAAATCAAGGAGATGAGTGTCTTGGTCACCCCAAGACAATGAGAAACCTCTAGGCAGATCCAATGACAGCTCCTTAGATCCTTCCTTCCATCATTTAATGACCAGCATCTATGCAGGAGGAAAGGAAGTGCAGCAGGATGGCTAGAAGCTTCGTCTTGAATACCTTCTACTGCAAAATGCCCCTCAAAATCCTGTGGTGAAAGAGCAAAAACCCCATTGGGATGTTTGTGCCCTGCATGGGAAACAGAAGAGATGAAGGATGTTGCTGATGCCATGGGCAGCTGCACAGCAGGGAATGTGTGAGGCAGATTCCTGTTTGATTCCCAGTTACCTACGCAATGGAGGCAAATAAAACCAGTTCAGTGTTTCTGCCAGTCCTTAATTCCACACCCCAGAGGGAAAATCTATTCTTGGGAACATGGGCAAGATGGTCTACCCAAACATCTGAGCATGTTCCTACAGAGGGGAGACCCAGCCAGTCTCCTGGAAGTGGGAAGTCCAACAGCCCAAACAGGGAGATGCTCTCTGAGAGGCCAAGCAGAGCAATCTGATACTCTGGTTACTCTATCAGACTGTAAACTGGGCCTTTTTAGGCACTAGTTATTCTCTATAAAATTGATTTTATTTTCTCCTTTCTATGGAAACAAATGCATGGGTCTCCACAAGCAATACAGTAGCACAGCAGAGATGTGTTCTGATAACAGCATCTGCCACAGCTTGCTGACATCTTGCCAGATGGATTTTCAAATTACTAAATAAAGTTGTGCCTTTTGGTTGTCCCACACAGGTGGGATCAGTCATTTCACTGAGAAATATTTCATTTCAGTTTCTAACCCATATAATACAAATTTATGTAACTGAACCAGGTGTTTGCAAAATATCTGTGTTGTGCTCAGGCTGAAGATAAAAAGAATTTAAAGTATTCTGGGATTGGAGAACTTCACAGTCACCGAACAAACAATTTGTTCACAGAAAACCTTTCTCAAGGCAGAATTCACTTACTAATTAGTGACAGAGCTCTTGTATAATTGTGCCCCTGTGAGAACAGTGTGGGTAATGAATTGATTGTGTGAGACTTTTTTGCCTTGATATATCATCTAATGGGTTTGCCCTGAAAGTTGTTGCCCTCAAGGACTGATGAAAAGCAGTACTGTTAGGCACTGAAATTTATAAACCAATTTACATTGTGGAAGGAATAACGGTTTTCCATTGAGTTAATGGTTAATTATCTGAGATCTCTTGTTCATTATTTCCTGTAACTGAATTGGTTTGTCACTTCTGTTAATTAATTAGACAAAAGAAAAAATATCATCAAGAGCTCTATTGCTCAAATTAGTGTCAGCTGTGGGTTTAGTGTGTGGTTTATTGCCCCATGAGCACATGCAAGGTCAGTGTGGGCTCACAAGCTGAGCCACTGGCAGCACTGAGGAAATAGGAAATAGACTTTTCAAACTTGGGCAGCTCAGGAACACCTGATTGTCTCCAGATGGAGAGAAGTCCTGTTCCTTTAGCACTGTGACCTTAAATACATCAGCACTGGGAAATGTCTTGGCAGTGACTGCACTTGGCTTTAAAGGGACTTATTTTGGGCTTGGGTGCCAGTGGTGATGTGAGGGTTGCCAAGGTTACCAAGAGCCTTCAGTGATGTGCACTGACATTCACACAGGAAGGAGGAAGCAAGAAGCTGAGTAAAGAAAACAATTTTGGAAAATGAACTTTCAAATATTTTTGGATGATGATTTTCTTACCTTTCTTCCCTGACACCTGAGAGCTCCATAAGAGTGATTTAGGAAACTATTTTCCCCAGGACACAGTAAGCTGTGTACACCTCTTTCTCCCCACTAACTTTAAAGTTAGGAGGGATGTTTTGTTGAGAAAAAAAACCTGGTAGAATACAGATCAGACATTGCTTAATTTTTTTTTTCTAGTCTGCAGAAAACATCTTTTTTTTTAACCTTTGTTTCCTTGAGTGATAAGGATGTAGAGCATGAGACAGAGATGTGGGAACCTATCCCCACTTCCTCTCTTCACCCAACCTCAGATTGTTCCTCCTTTGCCTCTAAAACCTGCTGGAAGGAGCCCCAGGGGGCAGTGGGGAAAGATGGGCTTGTCTGGGCTCTGATCCATTTCATTTGGGCTATAAAACTGTCTGGTAGTGTTAAGTGAATTCACTATTTTCCTTTTGGAAAGGAGGGGGAGCTGAGCTGGCTTGGTGCCTGTCTGTTTTGTGCAGCTGTGATGTAAAGGCTCTGGAGGGATGGCAGCAAGGCTGCTACTCTAGATCCCTATGGACTACCTAATTCCAGCCAATTTTATAGGCCATGATGCTAAAAAAGGAGGCAGACACTTGCAGTCTCTCTTTTTCCACAGCCTTCACAGTGTGTCTAACCCTGCTCCTGAATGGTAATGGTGACATCTCTGTAATGTATGGAAACAGCAGGGGCGGTCAGTGCCAGGCAGCCTGGGAGGGTCTGCTGGCAAGGCTTATGTATAAACAGTATCCTGGGGTTTGGGGGAGCTCCTAGAGCCTCCTGATTTTCAGCTTCATTTCTCTGCCTGACAGTTTGTGTAATGCTTACAGTAAATAACAGTTGATTTACTTTTTTTTTTTTTTGTCTTTGGAAATAGGAATGTAAGGAAAAATAATAGGGTTCATCCCATTTTCTTAAGTGTTTGCTTTTTAATGAATGAGAGGATAAAATAGAAGCCCAGTCACCATTCTCAGTAAATAAGTACCACAGTGCTGTGAATAGTATGGTTGTAATCAGGCTCTGTACCCACCATTTACAGAAATGATGGGAAACAGGAAAGTTTGAGATGTTAACTAAAACATGGGAATACACAGCAGTGTTTAAGAAAGCAGATGGTAAAGCATGAATGGAAAATCCCACTGAATCAAGTAGCTTTTTTGTATGAGTATTCTGAAAAGAATACATGGCTTCTGTATTCAGAAATTGTCTCTAGAAGCCTTGTTCCAACTTGTAATTGGGTGCATTTTAGGTC